TCATCCTGGAGGAGTTGGACTGCCTGTGTAACCTCTGTAGGGTCCAGGTATGGCCTCATGCTACTAGCAGTGACACTGACCCTAGCCAAATGCAAAACTAGTAAAAAACTGTCATAAAAGATGAGTAGGGAAAAAAATGTCAGTGGCCTCCACTTCTAAAACCATTCCTGTTTTGGGGGTTGTCTCATTGTTGCCCATCTAGAGCACCTGTTGTTACTTTTAATAACACCAAAGCAGCTGAAACTAATTAACAACCCCCTCTGCTACTTCACTGACCAGATCAATATCCCAGGAGTTTAATTATACCAACATTTATAGGCAAGTTTGATCCAAGGAATATCCGATTGCCTCTCAGGGGGATCAAGAAGGAATTTTTTCCCCTGCAGGAGCAAATTGGTTCATGCTTTGCTGGACTTTTTGCCTTCCTCTGGATCAACTGTGGATATAGGATTATAACATTTTTTTTTGAACTGGATGGACTTTTTTCAGCCAGACTAACAATGTAACTATGTATGTAATTGACTTGAAGCTATACTCTGATTAAAAAGTGTTCCTTTAATTTTTTTGTGCAGTGTATACAGGGAAAAAGAAAGGGGAATAAAAAAACAGAGATGTTCAATAATGTATAACTGATTGTTCAGAACAGAACAGAAGGTTTTATGCAGGCACCAGGTGCTGAGGACAAGTTGGTGAGATGGTGAGAAACATCAGGATGTGTAACATCTGGGAAGTACAGTTAACCTAAAATGTATTGTATTTCTAATATTTATTCAGTGCAAATCGATTAATCTTTGAACATTTACTTGAATGTTGACAAGCTGTTGCAGTGGACTAGTTCTTATCTGACAAGAGTTTAATTAAAGCTGATAATCTCCAGCCACAAAATGTAGGCAAGATTGGAAACTCTGGTTTGTACTGATATGTGGTGCTCCCTCCCTCACTTGTTTTTATGGTTGTCACCTTTGTTCATGCAAAATAAGGGAGAGACTGGGTAATGGGTGGCATGGTGCTAATCATGGCATAAGTAGCACACTGCCACAAAATTGCACAAACAGTAGAAGGGAGCAAAAGTTGTATTGTTAAATTAAAGGATAAGTTCACTTTTTTTTACATTTTCAGGTGCATTTATTTTTGTCTACAGGAGCCTGGAAAGCATTGCACCAGCGATCAGTAGATCGCTGATGCCATGCAGGTTTCCTGCAGACTTGTCAGAATATCTGCTTGCTGTATGGGATGTACGGGGTGTAGGCTATGAATGGGATGTTTGGGATGTACGGGGTGTACGGGGTGTACGGGATGTATGGGGTGTACGGGATGTATGGGATGTATGGGATGTACGGGGTGTATGGGATGTATGGGATGTATGGGATGTATGGGATGTACGGGGTGTATGGGATGTATGGGATGTATGGGATGTACGGGGTGTACGGGATGTATGGGATGTATGGGATGTATTAGGTGTACTGGGTATACGGGATGTAAGGGATATATGGGGATGTATGAGGTGCACGGGGTGTATGGGATGCAGGGATGAATGGGGTGTATGGGGTGTACAGGATGTATGGGGTGTATGAGATGTATGGGGTGTATGGGATATACGTGATGTATGGGATGTATGGGGCATACGGGATGTACGGGGTGTACGGGACGTACGGGGGGAAGGGAAGTATGGGGTGTACAGGATGTATGGGGTGTACGGTATGTATGGGATGTACGGGGTGTATGGGATGTACAGGGTGTATGAGGTATAGGGGATATATGGGGTGTACAGGGTATACGGGATATATGAGATGTATGGGATGTACGGGGTGTATGGGATGTACAGGGTGTATGGGATGTAAGGGGTATACGGGGTGCACGGGATGTACGGGGTATACAGGGTGTACGTGATGTATGGGGTATACAGGGTGTATGAGGTATACGGGATATATGGGGTGTACAGGGTATACGGGATATATGAGATGTATGGGATGTACGGGGTGTACAGGATGTATGAGATGTATGGGATGTACGGGGTATACGGGGTGCATGGGGTGTACGGATGTATGGGATGTACAGGATGTACGAGATGTATGGGATGTACGGGATGTACAGGATGTACGAGATGTATGGGGTGTACAGGGTGTATGGGGTATACAGGATGTATGGGGTGTACAGGGTGTATGGGGTATATGGGATGTATGGGGTGTACAGGGTGTATGGGGTATACGGGATGTATGGGGTGTACAGGATGTACGAAATGTACGGGATGTACAGGATGTACAGGATGTACAGGATGTACGGGGTGCACGAGCAAGCAGATATTCTGACAGGCAGCTTCAATGGACTACCACAGAGCTCCACAGTGCCATGGTAGTTCATTGGAAACTACAAGCTGACTGCCACTAAGGCTGTAGGGACTTTCAGTTCATTAATTCATGGAAGTCCATGAATGAGTGACGTGGGCCGTGTGGGTAGAGCCAGGGGCGGACTGACAACTCATGGGGCCCCCCCGGGCAATAGGGGATCATGGGGCCCCTGTGTCCTCGCCCACACTCAAACCACACCCAAAAAAGCCTATGAAAGGTACCAGGGACATCTCATGGGGCTCCCTACTTACCCCGGACCCTTGGGCAGTGCTCGAGTTCCCCAATGGTCAGTGCGCCCCTGGGTAGAGCCCTGCACGGCTGCACTGTTTTCAAATTTTACAGATATACGGGGAAACTTCTCCCCGTACTATCTGTCAGAGGGGGGGGGGGCAGCTAGCAGCGGCTGCGGCTATGGGAACATGGTCCACCTAAAAATGGGTGGAACATGTAACATTGTCCCAAAGGTGAACTTTACACCTGAACCTACTCTGCTGTTGGTCAAGAGTGCGCCACACCCAGAGTTCAGTGGAAAGGAGTAAGTAACACAAAAAGCACAAGATTCAAGAGTAAGTAATGCACAGAATGCAGGGTTCAGGAGAATATAATGCACAGAATGCAGACAGACCAGCTTCTCCCACCCTGAATACACAAACTACATTACATATGCTGTCTTTCAAGCATTTGCTTTCACTTGTATAACTCATACAACAATCCAACAGACTGAAAAAGTGGAATTAATCTATCTTCAAAAAGATTTCTTGAGGGAGATTGTTGATAAATATTTCTGACCCAAGGAGAGAAGCTTCTCCAACCCAGTCTGCAGGAGGGCCCCATATTTCCTCCGACCATTCACCTGTATAAGATTAATATTACATCTCTCCATTCACTCCAGAAGGGAAGCTGTATTGTCTTTACTCTGAGAATTAAACCAAGCCTTGCTCTCAAAGTTCATCACGCTGGTGTCCATTATTAGAGAATGATCTGCTCTTGCCATGAGCCATAAGTAGTGGGTAGAAGGCTAGCCCCCCACCAAAAGCCCCTGTCCTGGTTGGGTTTGTCACATCCCCCCCCCCAAAAGTAGACTAACCAGATCCCAGACCTTCTCCGGGTCTGCACATGCATTAATAGGGCAGAGTTAACCCACACATAGTCGATCAACATGATCTCCATTCTTGCCCGCAGGGAAGAATTGTCATCAGTAGATGTGGAGCAGAGGTTATGGACCCTATGTCCGGCTGCCAGCGCTTCAGCTGGGAGGTCTTTACAATTCCGGGGCTCAGTCTGATGCTGGGGAGAGGGGCTGGCTGCGCCAACTCCCTGGGGCTGTGTAGACAGGGTAGGTGCTAGACAGAGGCCAGCAGTACTCTGCCCTGTTGCCAGTGCTTTAGCTGGGGACCCCACATCTTCCACTCCTGCTGACTGTTGGGGAGGGAGGACGACAACCTCCTCTCCCGGACTGTGGATCTGCCACTGGGGAGGGAGGATGACCACCTCCTCTCCCGGACTGTGGATCTTCCGCTGGGTAGGTAAGGCGGTTGCTCCATCTCCCGTACCCTCATCTGGCTGCTGAGACAACATTTCTCTGGTACTGTCTTAAGACCTTACACTTTTCCATCCACTCCAGGAGGGAAGCTGTATTGTCTTTACAATTAATCCAAGCCTCGCTCTCAGCATTCATCACGTTGTTGTCCATCATTAGAGAATGATCTGCTCTGTCCATGGACCATGATCAGTGGGTAGAAGGCTAGCCCCTAGTCCCCTTCAAAAGGCCCTGTCCTGGTTGGGTCTGTCACAGTGGGCACAGTAATAGTACCCCCAGAATTAGTAGCATTAGTTTATCCACTTGCCTACCAGGCACTTATACCCCCTTCCTTACCAGGCCAATTTTCAGCTTTCAGCGCTGCCGCACTTTGATTGACAATTGCGCGGTCATGCAACATTGTACCCATATGAAATTTTTATCATTTTTTTCTCACAAATAGAGCTTTCTTTTGGTGGTATTTAATCGCCACTGGGTACTTTACTTTTTGCGCTATAAATTAAAAAATTTGCAAAAAATTTGAAAAAAAAAAAAAAGTTTATTTGTTTCTTTTATAAAATTTTTCAAACAGGTATTTTTTCTTCTTCACTGATTTGCGTTGATGAGGCGGCACTGATGGGCACTGATAGGCGGCACTGATGGGCACTGATAGGCAGCACTAAAGGGCACTGATAGGCAGTACTAATGAGGTGGCACGGATAGGCGGCACTGATAGACAGCACTAATTAGGGGTCACGGATAGGCGGCACTGATATGCAGCACTGATAGGCGGCACTGATAGGTGACACTGATTATGGGTACTGATAGACGGCACTGACTGGCATCACTTCTGGGCACTGACTGGCGGCACTGACTGGCACAACCCCTGGGCACTGACTGGTGGCACTGACTGGCAGCACTGCTGGGCTGCACTGGTGGGCGGCACTGGTGGGCAGCACTGGTGGGTGGGCACAGGTGGGTGGCACTGGTGGGTGGCACTGGTGGGCACAGGTGGGTGGGCACAGGTGGGTGGCACTGCTGGCACATGTAGGTGGCACTTCTGGGCACAGGTAGGTGGCACTGCAGAGTGGCACAGGTGGGGGCACTGCTTGGCACAGGTGGGGACACTGCTGGGCACAGGTGGGGGCACTGCTGGGCATGGGTGGGCGGGGCTAGTGGGCGCACTGCTGGGCGGAACTTGCGGGTGTCACTGCTGGGCACCGATCATCAGGGCACTGATCATCAGTTCCCTGATGATCGGTGCCGATCCCCGCTCTGACAACTGCCGGTTCTCGGCAGTACTTTCCTCACGATCTGACAGCGTGAGGAAAGTGCAGCCGAGAACCGGCACTTGCATTTCCCTGTGATCAGCGTGTCATTGGACACCGCTGATCACGTGGTAAAAGGCCGGTGGGATCGGCCTTTCACCACATCTCGTGATCAGCTGTGTCCGTAGGACACAGCGATCACGGAGATCGCCGGGTGCGCGCCCCCTGGGGCGCGCAGGAGAGCGCGTTCTGGGAGGACGTCATATGACGTCCACCCAGAACTAGCCGGCCGCGGTGAAGCCGTCATTCGGCTATGCGCGGTCGGCAAGAGGTTATTTTTGTGTTTTGTTGAAATCAACACGTGTGGAGCAGTCAGCTTGTCTGCTTAATTAAATCTTTGAGTTCCAGTGCCCTGCAAGGAGTTGGGAGATGAGGTTGACCTCAGCGGGAGGCACAAATAGCATGGTGTCCTGCAGCTGGGAAAAGCCAGGGATTTGGTTTGGTAAAATTGAAAGGACAATATAATGTCCCTATGCTGGCAGAAAGGGTCAGAAAAAACATGCAGAGCTTAAGTCAGCGATGGACAGAAGAGCTCATGGCTGCAGACCTTGCTAGGAGATGCATTGAACTGCTGAGCCAGATCTGTATGGGCTGGTCTTTGCTTTTGCATGGCAGGGATTTGTAGTTCTACATTGTCTGTGTGGCTTCTCCATGCTTATCTGCCTAGATGTCCTCTGCTGAGGCCACTGCTGGCTGGTGAGTCCTTGAATTGCTGCCCTGTGCCTGACTTTGCTGACTTTGCCGTATCTCTGTGTGGCCTGCTACTCCCTGGGCCCGTATTGGAGTACTGGAGTGCCACCCTGTGCCAAGGATTTTGCCCTGTGTGCTGGACTTAACCCTATTCTGCCCGGAACCCTTTGCCCTGTGTACTGCCCTAGCCTGTCACCATACTGCTCTGACCTGCCATTATACTGCCCTAGCCTGCCACTATACTGCTCTAAACCTTCCACTATACTGCTCTAACCTTCCACTATACTGCTCTAACCTTCCACTATACTGCTCTAACCTTCCACTATACTGCCCTAACCTTCCACTATACTGCCCTAACCTTCCACTATACTGCCCTAACCTTCCACTATACTGCCCTAACCTTCCACTATACTGCTCTAACCTTCCACTATACTGCCCTAACCTTCCACTATACTGCCCTAACCTTCCACTATACTGCCCTAACCTTCCACTATACTGCTCTAACCTTCCACTATACTGCTCTAACCTTCCACTATACTGCCCTAACCTTCCACTATACTGCCCTAACCTTCCACTATACTGCTCTAACCTTCCACTATACTGCTCTAACCTGCCACTATACTGCTCTAACCTTCCACTATACTGACTGCCCTAACCTTCCACTATACTGCTCTAACCTGCCACTATACTGCCCTAACCTTCCACTATACTGCTCTAACCTTCCACTATACTGCTTTAACCTTCCACTATACTGCTCTAACCTGCCACTATACTGCCCTAACCTATCACTATACTGCCCTAACCTTCCACTATACTGCTCTAACCTGCCACTATACTGCCCTAACCTGCCACTATACTGCTCTAACCTATCACTATACTGCCCTAACCTTCCACTATACTGCCCTAACCTTCCACTGTACTGCTCTAACCTTCCACTATACTGCCCTAACCTTCCACTATACTGCCCTAACCATCCACTATACTGCCCTAACCTTCCACTATACTGCTCTAACCTTCCACTATACTGCCCTAACCTTCCACTATACTGCTCTAACCTTCCACTATACTGCCCTAACCTTCCACTATACTGCTCTAACCTTCCACTGTACTGCCCTAACTTTCCCCTATACTGCTCTAACCTTCCACTATACTGCCCTAACCTTCCACTATACTGCCCTAACCATCCACTATACTGCTCTAACCTTCCACTATACTGCCCTAACCTTCCACTGTACTGCCCTAACCTTCCACTATACTGCTCTAACCTTCCACTATACTGCTCTAACCTGCCACTATACTGCCCTAACCTTCCACTATACTGCCCTAACCATCCACTATACTGCTCTAACCTTCCACTATACTGCCCTAACCTTCCACTATACTGCTCTAACCTATCACTATACTGCCCTAACCTTCCACTATACTGCTCTAACCATCCAACCTTCCACTATACTGCCCTAACCTTCCACTATACTGCCCTAACCTTCCACTATACTGCCCTAACCTGCCACTTTACCACCATTATACTGCCCCAATCTGCCACTATACTGTTCTAGCCTGCCACTATGCTGAACTAGCATAACCACATCTCTGTTATATATTTGTGATTAAAGTATGACATTGGGTTAATGAATTAGTAGCATTAGTTTATTTTTGTGTTGTTTTGTTGAAATCAACAAGTGTGGAGCAGTCAGCTTGTCTGCTTAATTAAATCTTTGAGTTCCTGTGCCCTGCAAGGAGTTGGGAGATGAGGTTGACCTCAGCGGGAGGCACAAATAGCATGGTGTCCTGCAGCTGGGAAAAGCCAGGGGTTTGGTTTGGTAAAATTGAAAGGACAATATAATGTCCCTATGCTGGCAGAAAGGGTCAGAAAAAACATGCAGAGCTTAAGTCAGCGATGGACAGAAGAGCTCATGGCTGCAGACCTTGCTAGGAGATGCACTGAACTGCTGAGACAGATCTGTATGGGCTGGTCTTTGCTTTTGCATGTCAGGGATTTGTACTTCTACATTGTCTGTGTGGCTTCTCCATGCTTATCTGCCTAGACGTCCTCTGCTGAGGCCCCTGCTGGCTGGTGAGTCCTTGAATTGCTGCCTTGTGCCCAACTTTGATAACTTTGCTGTATCACTGTGTGGCCTGCTACTCCCTGGGCCCGTATTGGAGTACTGGAGTGCCACCCTGTGCCAAGGATTTGGCCCTTCGTGCTGGACTTAACCCTATTCTGCCCGAAACCCTTTGCCGTGTGTGCTGGACTTAACCCTATTCTGCCCGGAACCCTTTGCCCTGTGTACTGAGGACTTAACCCTATTCTGCCCGGAACCCTTTGCCCTGTGTACTGCCCTAACCTGTCACCATACTGCTCTGACCTGCCATTATACTGCCCTAGCCTGCCGCTATATTGCTCTACCCTTCCACGATACTGCCCTAGCCTGCCACTATACTGCTCTAACCTTCCACTATACTTCTCTAACCTTCCACTATACTGCCCTAACCTTCCACTATACTGCCCTAAGCTGCCACTATACTGCCCTAACCTTCCACTATACTGCTCTAACCTTCCACTATACTGCCCTAACCTTCCACTATACTGCCCTAAGCTGCCACTATACTGCCCTAACCTTCCACTATACTGCTCTAACCTTCCACTATACTGCCCTAACCATCCACTATACTGCTCTAACCTTCCACTATACTGCCCTAACCTTCCACTATACTGCCCTAACCTTCCACTATACTGCCCTAACCATCCACTATACTGCTCTAACCTTCCACTATACTGCCCTAACCTTCCACTATACTGCTCTAACCTTCCACTATACTGCTCTAAACCTGCCACTATACTGCCCTAACCTTCCACTATTTTGCCCTAACCTTCCACTATACTGCTTTAACCTGCCACTATACTGCTCTAACCTTCCACTATACTGCCCTAACCTTCCACTATACTGCCCTAACCTTCCACTATACTGCTCTAACCTTCCACTATACTGCCCTAACCTTCCACTATACTGCCCTAACCTTCCACTATACTGCCCTAACCTTCCACTATACTGCCCTAACCTGCCACTATACTGCTCTAACCTTCCACTATACTGCTTTAACCTTCCACTATACTGCTCTAACCTTCCACTATACTGCTCTAACCTTCCACTATACTTCTCTAACCTTCCACTATACTGCCCTAACCTTCCACTATACTGCCCTAAGCTGCCACTATACTGCCCTAACCTTCCACTATACTGCTCTAACCTTCCACTATACTGCCCTAACCTTCCACTATACTGCCCTAACCTTCCACTATACTGCCCTAAGCTGCCACTATACTGCCCTAACCTTCCACTATACTGCTCTAACCTTCCACTATACTGCCCTAACCATCCACTATACTGCTCTAACCTTCCACTATACTGCCCTAACCTTCCACTATACTGCCCTAACCTTCCACTATACTGCCCTAACCATCCACTATACTGCTCTAACCTTCCACTATACTGCCCTAACCTTCCACTATACTGCTCTAACCTTCCACTATACTGCTCTAACCTGCCACTATACTGCCCTAACCTTCCACTATTTTGCCCTAACCTTCCACTATACTGCTGCTTTAACCTGCCACTATACTGCTCTAACCTTCCACTATACTGCCCTAACCTTCCACTATACTGCCCTAACCTTCCACTATACTGCTCTAACCTTCCACTATACTGCCCTAACCTTCCACTATACTGCCCTAACCTTCCACTATACTGCCCTAACCTTCCACTATACTGCCCTAACCTTCCACTATACTGCCCTAACCTGCCACTATACTGCTCTAACCTTCCACTATACTGCTTTAACCTTCCACTATACTGCTCTAACCTTCCACTATACTGCTCTAACCTGCCACTATACTGCCCTAACCTTCCACTATACTGCCCTAACCTTCCACTATACTGCTTTAACCTGCCACTATACTGCTCTAACCTGCCACTATACTGCCCTAACCTTCCACTGTACTGCCCTAACCTTCCACTATACTGCTCTAACCTATCACTTTACTGCCCTAACCTTCCACTATACTGCTCTAACCTGCCACTATACTGCCCTAACCTGCCACTATACTGCCTTAACCTGTCACTATACTGCCCTAACCTATCACTATACTGCCCTAACCTTCCACTGTACTGCTCTAACCTTCCACTATACTGCCCTAACCTTCCACTATACTGCCCTAACCTTTCCCGCTATACTGCTCTAAACTTCCACTATACTGCTCTAACCTTCCACTATACTGCCCTAACTTTCCACTATACTGCCCTAACCTTCCACTATACTGCCCTAACCATCCACTATACTGCTCTAACCTTCCACTATACTGCCCTAACCTTCCACTATACTGCTCTAACCTTCCACTATACTGCCCTAACCTTCCACTATACTGCTCTAACCATCCACTATACTGCTCTAACCTTCCACTATACTGCCCTAACCTTCCATTATACTGCTCTAACCTTCCACTATACTGCTCTAACCTGCCACTATACTGCCCTAACCTTCCACTATACTGCCCTAACCTGCCACTATACTGCCCTAACCTGCCACTTTACCACCATTATACTGCCCCAATCTGCCACTATACTGCTCTAGCCTGCCACTATGCTGAACTAGCATAACCACATCTCTGTTATATATTTGTGATTAACTACCTGCCGACAGATAGCCGAATGACGGCTGCACTGCGGCCGGCCAGTTCTGGGTGGACGTCATATGACGTCCCCCCAGAACGCGCTCTCCTGCGCGCCCCAGGGGGCGCGCACACCGGCGATCTCCGTGATCGCTGTGTCCTACGGACACAGCTGATCACGAGATGTGGTAAAAGGCCGATCATACCGGCCTTTTACCACGTGATCAGCGGTGTCCAATGACACGCTGATCACAGGGAAATGCAAGTGCCAGTTCTCGGCTGCACTTTCCTCACGCTGTCAGATCGTGAGGAAAGTACTGCCGAGAACCGGCAGTTGTCAGAGCGGGGATCGGCACCGATCATCAGGGAACTGATGATCAGTGCCCTGATGATCGGTGCCCAGCAGTGACACCCGCAAGTTCCGCCCAGCAGTGCGCCCACTAGCTCCGCCCACCCATGCCCAGCAGTGCACCCACCTGTGCCCAGCAGTGCCCCCACCTGTGCCCAGCAGTGCACCCACCTGTGCCACTCTGCAGTGCCACCTACCTGTGCCCAGAAGTGCCACCTACATGTGCCCAGCAGTGCCACCCACCTGTGCCCACCCACCTGTGCCCACCAGTGCCCACCCACCAGTGCTGCCCACCAGTGCCACCCACCAGTGCAGCCCAGCAGTTCTGCCAGTCAGTGCCACCAGTCAGTGCCCAGGGGTTGTGCCAGTCAGTGCCGCCAGTCAGTGCCCAGCAGTGATGCCAGTCAGTGCCGTCTATCAGTACCCATAATCAGTGTCACCTATCAGTGCCGCCTATCAGTGCTGCATATCAGTGCCGCCTATCCGTGACCCCTAATTAGTGCTGTCTATCAGTGCCGCCTATCCGTGCCACCTCATTAGTACTGCCTATCAGTGCCCTTTAGTGCTGCCTATCAGTGCCATCAATGCCGCCTATCAGTGCCCATCAGTGCTGCCTCATCAACGCACATCAGTGAAGGAGAAAAAATACCTGTTTGAAAAATTTTATAAAAGAAACAAATAAACTTTTTTTTTTTTTTCAAATTTTTTGCACTTTTTTTAATTTATAGCGCAAAAAGTAAAGCGCCCAGTGGCGATTAAATACCACCAAAAGAAAGCTCTATTTGTGAGAAAAAAATGATCAAAATTTCATATGGGTACAATGTTGCATGACCGCGCAATTGTCAATCAAAGTGCGGCAGCGCTGAAAGCTGAAAATTGGCCTGGTAAGGAAGGGGGTATAAGTGCCTGGTAGGCAAGTGGTTAAAGTATGACATTGGGTTAATGATATGCTGCTTTCAAAACCACACCTCTCTTAAATGTATGCCTCATCCCTAATTTAAGTACGTTCTTCATCTACAGGGGCTTTCTGGGCGCATAGCAAAAAAAGGTGACCCTGGAAATGTTTTTAAAATGTTGGCAACTATGCTGAACTCCTTCTATCTCTGCACTGCACACAACCTGGGCAAAGGCAGCAGAACTCCTGCTCCCCACCCAGCACATAGCTGAGATCAGATTCCCTTACATATAACCACAATCTGTACAGTGTGTAGCTGGCTACTATGTTGCAGTTCTGACCTGTGAAATTCCATGGCCAGTATGGTAGCGCAGCTGCAGCAGCCAGCTACACACTGTGCAGATCAAGGTTGTGTGTAAGAGAATCCAATCTTAGCTATGTGTAATGTGTGGTGAGAAAAAGATTTGCTGCCTGTGCCCAGCCCGTGTGCAGTGCAGGGATGGGAAAAGGACTTCTGCTGAGTGCCCTGCCAGCAGTGACCCCTGACCTCTGCTGAGTTCTCCCTACAGTGACCTCTGTCCTCTACCGGGCGGACTGACAACTCATGGGGCTCCCGGGCAATAGGGGATCATGGGGCCTCTGTGTCCTTGCCCAAACTCAAAAAAGCCTGTGAAAAAGGTACCAGGGGCATCTCATGGGGCCCCCTACTGACCCCGGGCCCTCGGCAGTGCCCGAGTTTCCAAATGGTCAGTCCGCCCCTGGTGACTCCTACTTTTGCATTGCCAGAAGTGACTCCTATCTTCTGATCTACCAGCAGTGACCTCTGTCTTCCTTCCTGTTGATCCCTGTTCTTTGCCCTGTGGACTCCTGTCCTCTGGTCTACAAGTTAATGGCATATGTTCCCTACAAAGTGAGGTCCCTATCCTATGTCCTGGTGACCCCCTGTACCCTGACCTGCTGACCTCCCATCTTCTGCCCCCCCTGACATTTATTACTGCACCCCCACATTGGACAGGCTAGATCCGGCCCTGGCTGAGGCTTTTTTTTTTTCCATCAAGCTATAGGCTGAATGGGAATTCAGGCCCCAGGAGATCAGTGAGCTGGAGTACAAGGAAAAAGGTAAGGAAGCCGGGGCTTGGCACAGTTGCATGGAGGACAGTGAGAGGTGACCATCTGATTGGGGTGCTGTGTTGGAGATAGAGACTCTGCTGCCACGTTTACTTGGAGGTCACCGCTGTGGAAGATCGCCACTGTCAGGATCTAAGTTGTTGCGGTTCTTTGGCAGATCATCATTCCTGAGTCCTGAGTGACCACCGACATGATCAGGCGTATTTACAGTGCCTAACTTTTCGCCCCTTTCTTAATGGAACCATGACATCCTTTATGATACAGTGGGTGTACTTACACCTGGTATTGTGCTATCCACTCAAATCCGAGCACTCAAACACCGGAACATTGGGCCCCATCGAATACAAATACACTGGTTGGTGGGAGGAGTCCAGGGAGACTAACACACCTTTAGTTCCCAGAACCACCCCTTAGTTAGGACCTGGCTTTAGGGTTCAGGGGCAGAGATGTTTGGTCCTCAAATTATTTATGGCATTTGTTATTGTTCACTGTTATTGCCATTTGTTTATTGAGTTGCTGGGTGTGTTGTGCAAATAATATCCCCTCTTGAGCCTTGGTGTGTCATAGGGTGTGGCATAGGGTGTGGCATAGGGTGTGGCATAGCTGAAAGGGTCATTAACAGGAATCCAGGTACCCAAATATCAGTGGCTCCTTCAAGGGTAAGTGCTACAACATCCCTGTGCTGAGTTTCCGGGTCTGTACACCCGCTGTGCCCCATTATGAGGGGTTCCCACCATCCCTGTCCTGAGTTCCCGGGTCTGTACACCCGCTGCGCCCATTATGATGGGTTCCCACCATCCCTGTGCTGAGTTCCTGGGTCTGTACACCCACTGTGCCCATTATTAGGGTTTCCCACCATCCCTGTGCTGAGTTCCCGGGTCTGTACACCCGCTGTGCCCATTATGAGGGATTCCCACCATCCCTGTGCTGGGTTTCTGAGTCTGTACACCTGCTGTGCCCTTTATGAGGGGTTCCCACCATCCCTGTGCTGGGTTTCTGAGTCTGTACACCTGCTGTGCCCTTTGTGAGGCGTTCCCACCATCCCTGTGCTGAGTTCCGGTCTGTACACCCGCTGTGCCCATTATGAGGCGTTCCCACCATCCCTGTGCTGAGTTCTCTGGTCTGTACACCCGCTGTGCCCATTATGATGGGTTCCCACATCCCTGTGCTGAGTTCCCGGGTCTGTACACCCGCGGTGCCCATTATGAGGGTTTCCCACCATCCCTGCTGGATTTCCGTTTTTTTATATTTTGGACAGGAGGAGATGGAACATACAATGGTGGACAGGATCAGAGCTGGGAATTATGTCTGGGAGATCTGAATCTGTATCTATGGATCACCTCTGCTCATGTATTCTTTATTGGGATGATCAGATTTAGAGATGTCAATGATAACAAACACATACATGATAATATCAGTCTTTATTACATGTAAGAATTAAAAATATCCATGCAGTTATTCAGTAATAATTCAGATATCAGCAATTATAAATAATAATTCACATATCACCGAGGTGAACCTGTCATCATTTAGACTGAAAGCCTGAGAGCCCACTGGCATTACTGTAATGGGCCAGGACAGCTGTGTGCCCCTCTGATTCGGGTTTCACTGGTCTAAGCCCCACCCCAATAAATCTGCCTTAGTAGACCATAAAGATCTCATTGGACAAAAGTCTGGTGGTGGTTGGAGCTTTGGAGGAAGAGATCATCAAGACTGGGAATGTCAAGGCCTTAGTACCCGACAGAAACCAACATCAGGGAGGTGCACAGGAGGGGTAGCTTGCCAACCATGTAATGCATAGGGGGGTAGGCCTGAAAACCCACATACCACCCATATATGTCTGTACTGCCCCCTGCCTTAAAGTGGTTGTAAATCCTTCCATATACCCAGTGAAGTGACAAGCCTCAGGTGGTAGACAGAGATGAAACAAATCCTCCTACATACGTTGTACCTGTTTATCTGCAGCCATCTGTCCCATGCATCCTTCAAAAGTGCAGAACGTACACAAGATTTTTCAGCTCTGAAAAGCAGGGGGGCAAGGAGCTGAAGTAAGGAGAGCTCTGACTGCTGATTGGAGGGAAGAGACTCCCCCCCCCTCCACACAACACACAGGAACACATCTGAGGCTGTCAATCGCAGGCTGTGCCCTCCCGTCACCTTTTTATCTCTTGGTGTCAGCAAAACTCATCCGAAGCGACTCATGCCGATAACAGAGGAAGGAGGCAGCAGACAGAAATGACACTTAGTACTCTGGATTGAGACAAGTACACACTATAGAGGGATGTGCTTTGTTCATATTTTAAGTTTGAGGCTTACAACCACTTTAAGGGCCCCGGTGGGCGGGTGGTAAGGAGCGGTCTGGCGCTTTGCCATGTTTGCTTTCGTACAGAAAGTTTAGGTCTTAATAATTTTTTTTTTTTTTTTAATATGGTTGACAGGTTTACTTTAGACGTCGTATTCAAATTACCACCCCCCCCCCCCCCCTGTTTGCTCCAGCTGAAATTAGAAATCAGGTTCACCATAGGCATGCCTAAGCCTGTCAATCTGAGATATAGCTAGCAACTGCACAAAGACTATATGAATCATCATTGATAGGGCACGATGGAGGGCAGCCCCTTTAGGTGGGCTTGAGCATGGAGAGTGTGCAGGGTGGGTCAGGGCCAGATCTAGCCTATCCAATCTGGGGGTGCAGTTACCAAGTAAGGGGCATTGTGTCCACACTGTGTGAGCTATTGATTGCCTTTCACACAACATCACAACCTGGGAATTACTAGTAAGCATTAGGCTGTTTTAGATTAGGATGATTAAAAAGAACCTGTGCCCCCTTATATCAGAGGGTCATATCCCCCTTTATATCCGCAGTCCTCATCAGAGTCCCCCTTTATATTAGGTTCCCATCACAGTGCCCCCTTACATCACAGTTCCCATCAGAGACCCCCATCAAAGCCCCCCTTACTTCCAGGTCTCCCTATATATCAGGTTCCCATCAGAGTGCCCCCTTACATTAGAGGTCCAAATCAGAGTTCCCCCTTACATCAGGTGTCCAATCAGAGTGTTCCCATACATCACAGTCCCCATCAGCATCCCCCATCAAAGCCCCCTTTACTTCCA